CGCTAAATTTTGAATTATATTTATTTATATTTTATAAAATTTTTACATAAATATATATTTATTTAAATATTATAACTGGGTCCGACTTTAGCGACCAAAGTTGGTCGCTATCTTCTTATCCTTCAGTTAGCGACCAACTTTGGTCGCAAGTTTTAAATTATATATATTTATATTTTATAAGTTTTATAAAATAATAATAAAATTATTAAAAAAAATTGTGTGGGTCCCACTTTTGCGACCAACATTGATTGCTAAATTCAGTGTATCTTTGACCAAGCAAGTCTGACCAGTCCAATCAACAGTTTGATTAAATTTGCGTCCAAATAGCGACCAACTATGGTCGCTAAATTATTTCAAATATTTTTTTTATTATTTTCGGTAGTTTGGCGACCAACTTTGGTCACTTTTCTTAACAGACCAAATTTGGTTGCTTTTTGACCGAATTCTAGTAGTGAACCCAGCAAATTACTGAAAATAGAATCTTAAGTTTGGACCTACGAGTCTTGACACCTGAAAATTGGATGTCAAAGCTTAACTACCTTTGAATAATTGAATTTGGTTGCATTTATTCCAATTTGAATAGCAATAGTATACAAGACAACAAGTCAACCATAAATGAAGAAGAGAAACATCCCAAAAAAAATAAAAAAATTAAATAGAAGTCAGTAGATTCTTACATTAGTTGCCCACCAATATACACAGTCCACTAGAATTTGTTCGAGAAATGCATATTTTTAGTATATATATATAAACAAGAATATCTTGTTTAATTCTATTCGGAAAAGTGAAATAGTTCAAAAAGAAATTATGCAATTGTAGCTAAGGAAAGCTTGACTATAGTCAAATGTATATTAAAATTTCAGACTGATTTATATAATCAGAGGTTTTTAATAAAAACCGATTGGCAAGCTGCAAGGTTTATCTTTAATAAAGATTGCAAGCATGATGTGTCAAAATAAATGTTTGCTAGATGGCAAGCGTTACTAGCCCCATTTGACACATCATGCTTGCAATCTTTATTAAAATAAAACTTGCAGCTTGGCAATCGATTTTTATTAAAAACCTCTAATTATATAAATCGGTTTGAAATTGTCACGACCCAAAATTCATTAAAGATCGTGATGGCGCCGAATACCACTGTCATGCTATAGATAAGTCGTCACTACGGATAAAGGGTGCACTACAAGAAATTAACCTTATTGTGGCGACTAAAGTCGCCACTACATCCCTAAGAGTCGCTGCTAAAGGTTATTAGTGGCGACTTTTGTATTGCCACAAGGAAACCCGTAACTGAAGGTTATTAGTGGCGACTATATGTAGTCGCCACTAATAGAACATATTTTGTGGCGACATAGTTGCCACAAAAAGTTGGACAAAAAATTGTTCTATAAGAACAAATATTAGATGGGTCGCCACTATAAATGTCCTTTAGTAGCGACTAAAGTTGCCACAAAAAATATTTATGTTTAGTGGCAAGATTATGTCGCCACTATAAAGGTTATTTAGTAGCGACTAAAGTTGCCACAAAAAATATTTATGTTCAGTGGCTAGATTATGTCGCCACTATAAAGGTAATTTAGTAGCGACTAAAGTTGCCATAAAAAATATTAATCCATGCTACACAATGTTTCCTGTAGCACAATGTTTCCTGTAGCAAAAGAAATTGATATTTTGTGGCAACATATATATCGCAACAGTTACTAATTTTTTGACAAAACTCTGTCGCCACTAAAAGTTATTTTCTCAGCAATTATAACGACCAAAATTATATACATTTCCATGCCAGTAAGAACCTAATTCTCTAAAATTTCATATAGAGATATTCATATCAATTAACTATCAATATTAAAGCAACCAATAATGCTTGACAAACACCAAAAGAATTTCTCAAGCCGAATATTATAAATATTATCATTACTAAAAAGTCAATTACATATATATACTACCCGACACTTCATTGTGCATTGTAATTGTGCGCATATACATATCCCAAAAAAGATAAAATATTAAGTGCCTTGTAACTACTCCTTGCTCCACACCATCCGTGAACGATAACATTGTCTAAGTGCCCTGTCCCCGCTAGACCAAAGTAATATATATAAGAAACATAATGAGATTTGTTATATCCAAAAACAGGAATAGACGATTAAAGTATAAGCTAATACATTAGTATAACACAAAGTAAATTTGTTCTATGCTATTTCAATTGTGAAATGAAATGGCACAAGTGTGATAACATAAGTTTTCACGCATTAAAAGAATGAGAATACAACAATTGCACGAAAGCCGGATAAAGTAGAGGTATTGGATAGTGAAAGGAATAGAAGTCTATTCTAACTTAAGCTCTACCCCTGTCCTAGCCTTAATTACCCAATTTCATGTGCTTATACTTTTTCATTCACTGAACCTACTCAAATAACTAATATGCATTAACAACCAAGACAGTCCAAAACTGCCTGAACACTAATCTCAAATTTTTGCTACTGCATTCTTGGACATGCACTATCAGGTAAACAAAAAATGGAAGCCTACTGAAACTCTATCAGTAAGATAGATGGAAGTTGAGATTTATCTCATAGAAGTAAAACTACCTATTCCATATTTTCATAGTACATGGGTTCCAAAAATAGAAAATGTGTTTCTATATAGGGAAGATTCACTGGGGCAGATGCTAGAGATAGCTGCTCGCACTTCAATTACTCAAAATAGAGGTCACTATAAGAAATCATTCATATATAAAATTTGTGCACCAACAAATTAAAGACTTCAACAATGAAGAAAATATAAGTCATCGACCTTCTCAAGAATATTACTAACTGTATCAATAAGGTTCGCTACTACTTTTGTCATGATTTGGTTAACTATTTAATGCTAATGCAATACTAGCACTAGATGTTCTCAAGAATATCCTAATGCAATACTAGCACTAGATGGCTCGAGCAATTATACAACAATAATGGTGGCAGTCTCAGTAGCTCCAACTGGAGGAATAACTGAGTTCCATATCTCAGGATTATCACGATACGATGGACCTTACAGATGTAGGCCAGATATGTGTGAAAGTGAAGATTGTAATGAACTTCTACTACACTTTGTTTCTCCAACGCAACACAAAGCATATTTTATCAAACATTGACCTAAGCTGCATATATTCAAGAGGCAAAGCATAATAAAATTTGTTCAAAAGCGGCCAGCTTCATCTTCCAACTCAGATATTAAGAAAAACAGAGTCTATTGTCCAACCGTTGAATTATAATTAATTTTATATGCTGAAATATAATAACGCAGAAGCAGAAGCAGAAACAGAAACAGAACAAGAAGCAGAAGCAGAAGCAGCAGAAGAAGCAGAAACAGACGCAGAAAAAGAAGCAACAGAAGTAGAAGAAGCAGAAGCAGAAGGAAAATAAGCAGAAGAAGAAGCAACAGAAGAAGCAGAAGCAGCAGAAGCAGAAGCAGAAGCAAAAGAAAAATAAGCAGAAGAAGAAGCAGAAGAAGCAGAAGTAGAAGCAGAAGAAGCAGAAGAAGAAGAAGCAGAAGCAGAAGAAGCAGTAGAAGCAGAAGAAACATAAGAAAGGAGAAGGAGAAAGGAGAAGAAGAAAGGAGAAGAAGAAATGAAGAAGAAAGGAGAAAGAAATTACCTGGACTGGAGAAGCAGTGGTCGAGCTCGAGCTTGAGAGAGAAGGGGTCAACCCTAGCCCTTTGTCGATGTCTCTGTTTTGACGGGAGAAGCAGTGGTCTGTTGTGACTATTTAGGGGTCTTTTTTGTATAATTAAAAAACAGACCCCAAGTTTTTTTTTAAAAAAAAAGGGCCAGTGCGCTTTTGTAAAAGAAGCGATCGCTTTGTCGATTTTCTCGCTTCGTCGCTTCGTCGCTTCAACTAGTGAAGCACGCGCTTTTCAAGATCACATCGCTTCGAGCAGCCTAGAAGCGATACACTGTCGCTTCGTGTCACTTCGCGCTTTAAGCGACGAAGCGATCGTTTTTCTAAACACTGAAATGAACATATCTATATTGAAGCAATAGATCCAAAAATAAAGTTTAGTGGCAACCTCAAAAGGGCAACAATCAATGTGAAGCCAAGGCAGTCTAACAGCAAAATCAGAAGGTTACCATCATAGAGAACACCACAATGCCTGGTGGTTACTAAACCCCTAAACATGAAGTCACTACAGAATTAAGGAAGGAAGAAGAAATGTCGAGAAAGAAGAAGAATTGTTAAGAAAGAGCGGAGCAAGTACCTGTTGTTGTTGCATTCTGGTCAAGAAACTAGCAAATTGTTCATGCATCTTCTTCTCCACTTCTAGAGAGATCCTCTTGTCTGTTTCTGCATTTGCGTGTTGACGCTCCTCATTTGCATGTTGACGCTCCTCTGCCAACTTCCTTTCCAACTCAATTTCCATATTTCTTCGCAACTCAGCAGCCATTTGTTCACGTTCTTTTTGCAACTCCCTATCCATCTAGGCTTGCATCTCTTGACGCACAATATCAATAGCAGAAGGCACGCTGGCCTGTATGTTTGCCTGCTGAATGTTACTCTTTTTAGGAGGCTTCTTTCCGTATCCTTTTCCACGAACATAGCCTGTTCTCTCACCAACAACGGAGGATAAAATCTCATCTTTAGTCATGGGATGCTCGATATCCTCAGATTGTTGTTGAGCGACAACTTCTTGGAGTTGACCCTGCATTTATGCATAATCATTTAAATCAAAACATAATAAAACATATTAAGTGAAACTTACAGAAACAGAGAACTTTATAAGTGTTTTTAGATAATTACATGAATTAGTTGGGATTGTGAATCCAACCACACCAGTTCGCCTCCATCATCCTTGCGTGTATGTTGGATCTCCCAAACTTTATCTGGTGTGTCCAATTCTCCAGTAATAGGATTTCTCTACAATATAGTTATGGAAAAAAAATATATAAGCAAATATATAAATATGTAAATAACAAAGAAGCATATGTGATAGTAGGGGATTAAATATATTTTTACCGTAGATTTCTCTACTTCTGCAAAAGATTTTGTACCACAAGTATGCTTAATTATTTGATGATCTCTATTTCTTTTGTTCCTCTCACTTACAACCTGTAAGTAAACAGATTAATAAATCATCATTCAAAGAGACAATCTTCAGGTATTAAGTTAATACCTTAAATTCCGGACTTCCCAAAATATTGTATTAGGTATTTTCAGTCCTCAAGCTCAACATCTTCAGATCGATGAGATAATCTTTCTTCATTAGTATTGTACTTAGAGTACATAATGCTGAGTCGAGCTTTCCATGCTCTAAAAAGCCTTTGCATAGTGCTAATTACAAAGGCGTGAAACCTATGCTCTCGCAACCCGCTGCAAACTTCAAATTTATCCTGACAATAAATGTAACATTATATTCAATATCCTAACCACATAAATAAACATTGCAACTTAAAGTCAATACAATATTGAAAGTAGTTTATTACCTTGACCTTTAATCACATTACTTCTCCGTGTTTCAAAACTATTTTCTGCCAATTTCCATCTTGGAATGAGATAGTGCTCCTCATGATCAAACCATAGTAATTAACAATATCTCTAGCCCCAGAACCTACTACTCTATCAATGTCATCTGGAATAGTAATTTTGATTTTGCCACCACACTTAGTTTTTACCTCTAAACTTTTAGATTTGTATTTTCCTCTTCCTCTTTTTTTATTACTGGAAGAAACTGCGAAGTAAAAGGATAATATTATTCATTAGTAGCTCCACTCTATTGGTAAAAATAATTTCACAAAACAACAAAAAACAGAAACTAACTTGCACAATTTTCAGCCTCTGGAGAGCAATGCACAAGTTCTGCTACATTTCGTGATGATTGTGTTTCTAAAGAAGGTATTTGGAGAGAGTTAGTAGATACTCGTCCGGTCTGTAAAGGTCTTTGACTCGGGTTACTTGGTTGTCCCATCTCTACAAATGCATCAGATACACGTCCGGTTTGTATGTGTGGCTGAGACGTCGCTCCAAAATTGCCACGTCCTTGAAAATTTTCACGACCACAGCTCGTCCTGCCTCTCCCACGTTTTCCTCGTCCAATTCCTCTCATTTCTTGCAATAAAACATAAAAAGAAAATGATTGATCAGAATAGAGAAAATATTAATTCAATTATTTTCTAACTTCAGATGTCTATAGAAAGGGGACATATGTCCATGCCTCAATAGATATTAAAGTAAAGAAAGCTCTACTGTTTGTTAGTTGATGGTCAACCCTTTTCACCCAAATTAGCAGCTACATAGAACAACAGATCCCTTCTTTTAACACAATTCATTACTCCACCTGTACATTATACCAATACAACGGAAGACCAATACAACATAAAGCTACAAGCATCACGAATAGAATCAAAAAAGAAATATAAAGATTCAAGCATCAATAACTTTTGGTTCATTGACAGTTCCAAACAAATACATGGGGTAATATAAAGTCATGGACAAAAATATAGAGAATTTTCAAAATAGGATGTAACATTTATATCATTCGTCTTTTGCTTCTTAGTCTTCAAGAGGATGTATCAGTGTCCTCCCCATCATCATCATCAAATAACTCTTCTTCACTATCTTCGCTGTTTGATATTTCTATATGATTGTCATTAATGAAATCATCTTCCTCATTATGCACATCGATATCAGCTTGCGTACTTGCATAATCGTAGTTAATACTTTGTAGTTCAACATTATCCCTATGTAGAGACACCTCAACAATATTTTCTTGGTCATTGGTGCACAAAGTATTAAATTCAGCTTCCTCTTGTTGATGAACGTCTTCATTCAGTAATTCTTCATCTTCAATATCTACACAATTATCATCATTATCAGGAATTTTGAAAAGGTCACGAGGATTTATCTTCACAACAACACACCAATCATTATCGACCATGTCGTGCAAGTAAAAGACTTGTTCTGACTGAGATGCCAACACAAATGGCTCATTTGTATTCAAGGCACACCGAATATTCACACTTGTGAAGCCATATTTGTCAATCTTATATCCTCTTCCCAAGCGAGCCACATCCCACCAATGACACTTGAATAAGTAAACTTTTCTGTTTCCCACATAAGATAACTCATAAATATCCTCTAATACACCATAATACTCTTTATTAGAGTCTGAATCATCTCCTCTCACAAGCACACCACTATTCTGCATTTTTCTTCTCAATGCAAGCTCTTTTGTATGGAATCTAAATCCATTCACCACAAATGTTGAATATCGATGTACTAATGGTGCAGGACCGACGACTAAGCTTATGAGCTCATCATTTGCGCGTCCTTGTGCAGATAGTACAAATATCTACAAAGACGAACAATATTGTTATGACCATTAACATGATGGGATGAATAAACTAATGTCAATATTATTATTTGAGTAGATGTGCACCTACACGTGCACGAAACCAATCAAGAAACCCATTTTTATGAGCTCTCATTGAACTTTGGCTTTCAATCTCGCTTGTATATTCCCTACATTTTAAGTTAGCTAAGATAAATCAGATTCTAATTATCTCAATGTGAAAATATCTTGAAGTTAATAAGAGACTTACTCCATGAAATGCGAAACCTCTTCAGAATTTTGAAGCACATACATACATGCTTGTTTAAACTCATCATGAGATAGCCAGATGCCGTCTGAGGCACCCTTTGTTTGCCCACTTTTTTTAAAGATATACATCTCATCATTTGACACAGATCCATCGTCATTCCTAGTTGGTTTATTGAACTTTGTTGAGATATTCTTCAAGTATCGTGAGCAAAATGTGAGGCTTTCCTCTGCCAAATAACCTTCTGCAATTGAACCTTCTGGACGATTTTTGTTGCGAACATATGACTTAAGTGTTCGTAGATACCTATATAAAATGACTTATTAATATAATGTGTGTCATTCTAAAACTATAACATCGAAATTATTAAATAATAAATTACCTCTCAATAGGATACATATTCCGATATTGAGCTGGTCCACCAAGCTTTGCCTCACTTGGAAAGTGAATTGGCAAATGAACCATGACATCAAAGAAAGCCGGAGGGAAAACAAGTTGAAGTTTGGTCAAAATAACAGGAATTTCTGCCTCTAGGATATCAAGATCTTCAATCGTCAAGCACTTAGAGTATATATTCTTGAAAAACATTCCTAAGGCTATAATTGGATCACACACTTCCTTAGGTAGCAAACCACGTATAGCTACTAGAAAAATGTCTTGCAACAATACATGATGATCGTGACATTTCAATCCATGTATCTTTTTCTCTTGTACGTTGACACACCTTGAAATGTTTGAGGAAAATGCATCAGAAACCTTCAGATTAGCTAAGAAAGTGCACACCTTCAGCTTCTCTTCCGCGGATAATGCATAACATGCTGCAGGTAACAAAATATTATTCCTATCCTTAATAGGATGCAACCTTTGTCTGATTCCAAGATCCATCAAGTCATATCTACTTTTCAATGTGTCTTTTGTCTTACCAACCATATTCATGACAGTTGATAAAATATTATCGGACACATGTCTTTCTATGTGCATCACATCAAGGTTATGTCGTAACATAAGACTCTTCCAATAAGGCAATTGGAAAAAGATACTTTTCTTCTTCTAATTGTAAGCATTGCTATGAACATCACGCTTTCTCTTTTGTCCTTTACCAAAACTCACATTACCCAAAGCTTGTAATTGCACAAGTGCTTTATCACCGGTTAAAGGGTTAGGTGCAACTCCCATTTCAACTTTCCCATCAAATAACGTCCTACTTCTCCTCCATGGATGGTCCATGGGAAGGAAGCGACGATGACCCATATAATACAACTTACTACGCAAGGAAGTTGATTGTGTATCTTTATGGCAACAAGGGCATGCAAGCTTGCCTTTAGTTGACCATCCTGAAAGATTTCCATATGCAGGAAAGTCATTGATCGTCCACATGATAGCCACACGCATCAAAAAATTAGATCTTGAGTGTGCATCATAAGTCTCCACCCCGACCCATAATTCTTGCAACTCTTCAATCATTGGTTGTAAATATACATCAATATTATTTCCTGGACACTTGGGGCCCGGAATAAGAAGCGTCATCATGAAATATGGATTTTTCATGCAATCCCATGGTGACAAGTTATACGTAGCTAGTACGACTGGCCAAATGCTATGATTAGAACTCATGTTCCCATAAGGTTAGAACCCGTCACTCGCCAAACCTAATCAAACATTTCTTAACTCAGCTGAAAAGGTGGGATGTTGTGCATCAAAGGATTTCCATATTATTGAGTCAGATGGATGTCGCAAGACACCATCATCAACATTTCCCTCCTTGTGCCACCTCATTTTTGTTGATGTTTCTCTTGCCATGTACAATCTTTGAAGCTTTGGTTTGATTGGAAAATGCCGCAAGATTTTATGAGCTACTTTCTTGCCTCCGTGTTCTTCGAACTTCCATCTAGACTTACCACACTTAGGACATGCTTGGACATCGGCATAATCACTCCAATATAAAGTACAATCATTTTGACATGCATCTATTTTAGTGTACCCTAAGCCGAGGTCACAAAGAACTTTCTTTGCTTCATAGAAAGAATTAGGTACAAATGACCCCTCGGGAAGAACTTCTTTGAAGAAGCTCAATAATGCATCCATCGATTTGTTGCTCCAATGGTTAAGACACTTCAAGTGAAGTAGTCTAACAATAAAAGACAACTTCGAAACATTTTTACAACCAGGATAAAGTTCTGTCTCAGCATCTTCTAACAATTTGTAGAAATTTGTTGCATGTACATTTGGCTCTTCATTGTCCTCTGAATTATTATTATTATCCTCCACATTCGTATATCCATAAGCATTGTGAATCATTTCAGTAATATTATCCTCTTCAATGCTATCATCTTCCGCTTCATCACTAACTGCAGTATTAGAAGTTTCAACTCTAACTAACACTTCTCCATGCAAGTCCCACACTTTATAAGAATCACAAAAACCATTCTTCAATAAATCTCCTCTTACACCAACCCTTAGCTTGAACACGGTATTCATACACCATTTATAAGGACACAGAATCATAGTGTTCACTGTTGGTTGACTGAATGCCCAATTAAGAAAGTTGTCTCCTCCATCTCTATATCTTTGGTCGACTCTGTTCCTAATATTCAACCAACTTTTATCCATCATATCTATATTAAAAAAATAAATTAATTAATTTACTAATTAAAAGGGGAAGGATTATAATAATCAAAAAATATATATAATAATTAACATATACCAGGGGTATTCGGACAAGCAGTCACAAAAACACATTATTCAAACAAGAAGGAAGTAGTCTATTCCAGAATTACTTATACGAATTGTGTGCAATGAAGAACAAGTTCAAACCAGGGTACGTAACACTCTATGAAACTACAAAAATACATGACCTTAGTAATGTGTATTTGATGTGTTTTTATGACTCATAGATGTTAATACAAAAATAGAGCTATAAAAATTAGTAGTTTCCCTAACGCATTTTTCTTAGGCTTGTTAACTAGTTTTGTATAAGTTTTCTGTTCTTGGTGTTTGTTTTGCTAAGTAGTGGCTTTAGTTGGAAGAAAAATTATCACTGGTCTAGCGTGTTATGCGTCTAGTTACTTTCTCTTCCTAATTATTGCTTTCAGCTCCTACTGAAGGGTATATGAGCACAGAGAAGGGAGGATTAATCTAGGAAAGTACTATCCAATTTTTAATCGTCGTACCTCCTACTGAGCAAGGGCAGGCCCATTGAAATAGCAGCTTCTATGTTTATCTATTTACACTTCACATGATTTAGTATTAGCGTTAGGTTTAAATTAAATTTTGAAAGTGGATAGTTACCAGTTTAACCATTTGGAAAATTTCCCACCTGCGATCAAAATATGCTGAATGTGCTCGTGAACGTTAAACCTACAAAGCCTTAGGTCACATATATAGGCACATCTGCCAGAGAATAACAAGACCTTAGTATGTGGAAATTAACAACTAAAATCATTAAACCTACAAAGCCTTAGGTCACATATATAGGCACATCTGCCAGAGAATAACAAGACCTTAGTATGTGGAAATTAACAACTAAAATCATTAAACCTACAAAGCCAACCCAACTGAAATATGAATTGTCATATTTTTCTTGCTAGTTCTCTAGAGTTGTTATTTGATTTGAAGAAGGAGAGTTGTTAAGTAGGGAGAAGTTGTGTAATTTGTTTTTCATGTTGTTGGGCATTTATAGTTGCCCCATCCCACATGGACAACTAGCTTATTCTCTATAAGTTTTTTTGTATTAGAGAATTTGAGCTAGGTGTTGTAGAGGAGATAGAAGTTTGTACAGATCTAACTAAACCAATTAACATTAGCAGTTCGTTGAGCCACTGTGATGGCAGAAAATAAACATCTTTGAGCTAGGTGTTGTATAAGATACTGTTTCTGTTTCAATTGGGTTAGGGGTGTTCGAGCTTCAAATGTATCTCTCTCTAATCGTTGCCTTAGGTCATATATATAGGCACATCTACCAGAGAATCACAGACCTTAGTATGTGGAAATTAACAACTAAAATCATTAAACCTACAAAGCCAACCAATGTATA